TAGAGTGCTCCATGAGAATTCCTTATAATCGATCTATGGAGTTATCTAGAATTTTGATGAACGCTCTTCCAACGACATAGCCTACTATAAATATATGTTTAGTTGTGTGTATTGTGTATGTATCATGTACAAAGAAACAGGGCGAGAGAAACAAAGAGTGGAAAGAGGGTGAAGCGCTGTTTGTGGGGTAAGAGAGAGTAAGGAAGTCGAATACCGCATTGTTGGAATAAGAAAATTTCATTTGGCCTTCGTGTAAATAAAATATTGGATAGTGGTGATCAAAGTTGTATAATTTCATTTTATTTCATAAAATTTTATTTTTCCCGTCTAAATTCAACAGTGATGATCTAGTTTTAATCGGATGTAGATGCTTTGGTTTTCCATATATAACGGTAATACTTTTTTCAAGCATTCTATTTTTATTTTTCAAGCATCCTATTAAATTAGGGGTGGAAGCGGTCCGATTTTATCGATTTTTGACAGATTTTCAAACCAAATCGTTTAAATCGGTTTGAGAAAAATTCAAACCTAAACCAAACCATTTTGAGCGGTTTGAAAAAAAACTCAAAGCTAAACTTAACCGTTTGGTCTAGTTTTAAACCACCGATTCGTCATTTTTTTTGCCTATCTTACTAGCAATAAATCTAAAACAAATTAAGCTCATGTTTGAACCAAATTTTCGGGACAAAAAATAAAAATTTGGACCGTTATCCCACAAGTCCAGCCGCCTTTGTTGTTGTTTCATGTGTGAGACTAAGCCTCCTCTCCAACGATCAATTTTCTCATTATGATGATATAGAAAATATGGCTCAAACAGGGGCTAAATATATCCACTATGAATTTAAATACCAATTCAATAAAAGTGAAATCACAATAAACTAAAACATAATTTTTTTTTTCATTTTTTTCACTTTTTTTAGGCTAATGACGATACAATAGCGTTACGTACAAGTCTACTAAATTAGATATAAGGCCCCAAAAAATAATGATGTCCAACATGATCTCGTGATCAATATATCTGAAAAAGAATACTGGTTAGACAAAGAGAATAACCAACCATAATAAAAAAATAATTGTTTATAATATCAAAACATAACAATTACACAAGTTTACGTTTGTATGATATTACGAAACGCATTTAATTTCAGATTTTTACCTTAGTTTGCTCCATATAAATTATTAATCTGAAACTTTATTCGTAGCAAATACTATCACCGAAAGTCTAGGATCTCTTTGTCTCCGATTTGGTATAATGGACTTCAATTCAACTTTGAAGAGGCGTGAAAAATTTAAAAAAAAAAAAAAAGAAGAAGTGTGGTGACAGTGGCTCAAGATTGTGTTGGGTGTTAACTGGAATTCATATAAATTCTGAAGAGGAAAAAGGGCTTTTGATAGATTATGTTTGTTTTGGGATTATTAGATATAAATTAGGATTATGGGACAATAATAATATATTTGTATTAAAAAATTAGAAATTCACAAAAATATCCACAAATGATAAAATTATTGAATTTTACATATTTGGATGAATTTTCAAAAAATTTTATTTTTTAAATTTTTTTATTTTTATATATTTTTTCGCCGATCCAATTTGGTTTTAAATCGTAATTAAAATTCTCAAACCTAAACCAAATTATTTTGACCAGTTTGGTTTGATTCAAAATCATTTCATTGACCAGATCCATATGGCACCGAACCGACGGTTTCTAAAATGCAGTTTCGATTTGATATACTGGTATGGTGATTTTTGCTCACAATCCTTTATTAAACCATTCTATTTCATATCAAAAAGTTTTTATTTTATTTTTTTATAACTTATTTGTAATTTTGATTGAGCCCAACCAATTCAAAATTTCTGCATCCACCACTGCGGCCCTCCCCCAATTGAAACAAAAAAATGAAACTATGTGACTAATTTAGAATAAAAAAAATTAAGATTGATTATGCAATTGAAATTTTACTTGGAGTTCAGAAATGTCAACGCCTTTAACCCAAATGAAATGACATTCTGAAATTGTAGGAATATTGCTAAAGTTGCAAAAATGGTATGTTAACATTAAATACACAAAAAGATATTAATTATATTCTTTTGATTTATTATAATTACTTTAATTTTCCAATGTGCAATTATTTATTATAGAATTTTTTTTTATAAATATTTATAACAAATTAATAGTATCATTATTTTCTGTTTCGTGCAAGCTTTAATAAACAAAAGTAGAATTGACAATCGACCATTGTTGATCCGTGCAAGAATATCGGTTTGATAAGAATAATGTTATTCATAGTCCATTACTACTACAGTTGTTTTGCGTGACATACATGTGCGGTTAGTGATTTGATATATAAGGTAATAAAAAATTACCACATTGATACATCAAGTCATTAACCATCACATGTATATTACGTAGGGCGATTATGACAGTAAGCAATGCAAATAACATTACTCATTTGATAAACAAGATCATTAATTCAAAGTAATGAAAATCGAGAATGAATGCGAAATTGTTGAAACTTTCCAAACTTCATCATAATTTATTCATTATCACTAAAATAACGATAAGTGTAAAGGTCCAGATTGAATTATTTCGTGGTTTTGCCAATTTAAAAAGAAAATAAATTGCAGAATCAACATAAACAGAACACAACGATATGTTTTGCCCCAAAGAGGGGCTCGGATGTTCAGCCTTTCGATCTAATTACCCGTTGAACATTTGTAAACAGATATAGCTCAAGATCCACTAAGAATAACCAAGAAAATGTTACAACATGTACGAAGAAATAGAAAGTTTCTTCGATATCTCTCTAGCCTCTTTACAATAAGAAATCACAAAGATCAACTTCTACAATGAAAGCACTCAACTCTCATTTACATGACATAAGGAAGATTCACCACTAAGATGAATTTCAAATTTACAAAAGAAAGAAAACAACAAACCCTAACTACACTCAGAGAAAGGGAAAAGGCAGAGAGAAAGTCACGAAGCATCCAAAGAATAAAGGGCCAAACCAAATTAAATATTTGGTCAACAAAGAGTCAAAATCCAAGGGATGACTATCAACCACGTGTACAGCTGATACTCAATCCTTAAGAGGCAATAAAAACGTGTTTCCCTAAAAATGATTTCTTTTAAAACTTCATCAGTTGAAAACTAATCAGCCCAAATACAGATGACCTGATCCATGGTAAAATATGGGCCAAAAAATTGTGAGGCAGCCCAAATTCAGTTTAACATTAAAGTTATATAAATTCACTCATTCAATTTATCGAGATATTATTTGTTTACTATTACTAATGTTAAACTCGAGTAAAGGCGTGGTTTTTCTGCTAGGGATTTTATAAAAGAAAAAGATTAAGAATATTTATAATTAATATTTAGAAGCTTCACTTTGAAAATGAACCACCATACGACTTTTCTCCACCAAAACTCTCTAGATACATAGAAAACGGTAATTGAATTCCTTCATATTATATTATTGACAAATTTGGTACCAACTAAAAGTTTCAACAATAAAACCTGGACGAGGCTTTAAATAATACAGAGTCTTGATGACTTACTGTGTTTTTCTTTGAAATACGTGTTGTACACATTGGGATATTTGTGTATATATAGAGAAAAAGGTTGTCTCAAGAAAGAGTCAATCCAGTTCCTTATTCTTATGTACAGCCTCTCCATTCTTCATCTTGCGGATAATATGGCGACGGTGGCTGCAGCAGCAAATTTTCACACTTTTCTGGCAATTCTTTTGCTGTTGATACCCATAGCAGCAGAGGGAATTATTTTCCCTCCCTTTATTGGTACTGTCTTTTAAGTTTTTATCTCTCTCTCTCTCTCTGTGTATATACACACACACATATATATATATATATATGTATGTAAGTGATGATGTGTCATGTGTGCGTGGTGGGTTTCAGATAATATATGTGGAGAAGTTCAATGTGGAAAAGGAACATGCGAGGCAAATCAAAGCTATCCTTTCAACTTCAGATGCAACTGCGAGAATGGTTGGAAGCGCACTCGTCTTGACGATGAACAAAATCTTGAATACCTTCCGTGCATCATTCCCGATTGTAATTTCTTAACTTCTGCTTTTTATCGTTCTTACAAAGTTAGTCAGTACGATGGTCAAATCAACTGTCATAATTACTTTGATCGTAAAATTTATTCCAACTGCATAAAAAAGCTCCTCGGTGTCATGTTCACATATCTAATGACAAGAAAGTCCTTGTATAAAGTCCTTGAAACCCACTATATATAATTAATTATAAGTATTGACAAACATGGCTTAGTGACAAACTATTATAACTTACTTGTTAACTTATAATTTTCATAAAATGTTCATTTATTGATCTGCAGGCTCTCTTAACTACTCGTGCATGCCAGCAGCGCCACCACTTCCACCGGTTCCCTACAATATATCTTTCTTTGACCGTAATTTCTTAACTTGACCCGACCCGGTTTTCTTCAAATCCCCCTAAACGGGTGGACTCATGCTCTGATTAAATTTAATTACAAAA